CATTGATAGCATATCTGCAATGGTCTTGTTCAACCGTTCAGTGAGTCTATTTGTTTGGGGGTGATAACCCGTGGTTTTCCGATGTTCTATACCACTTAGTCTCAGCACTTCTTGAAGCATCATTGCGATGAAAGCTGTACCACATTCAGTAATTATCACAGCTGGCGCTCCGTGACGAAGTACAATGCTGGTGACAAAAAACTGGGCGATTTCTGCTATGGCAGCTCTGGGCAGGGCTTTTGTTTTGCTGTAACGCGTTAAATAATCGGTGGCAACTACAATCCACCGGTTTGCAAAGACGTGAGAAAATATCTGAGCAAGTCAACGCCAATTTGATAGAATGGCGTTTTTGGCGCGGCGATATGCTGTAGTAGTCCTGCTGGTCCGACAGGTGGAGCCTTACGGCGTTGGCAGTCACGGCATGTGCGGACGTACTGCTTCAGTGTCTTCGCGAGGCGTGGCCAGTAGTATGAGCGGCAAATTTTTTCCAATGTGCGCGTGTAGCCAAGGTGTCCGGTTGATGGTTCTTCGTGACAAGCATGTAAAACATCCTCCCGAAGCGAGGTCTGCGCAACCAGTAGGTAAGTAGCCTGGGTATGGTCGAAATTTTCCTTATTGAGGACTCCATCCCTAATGCAAACGAGGCCAGCGAACAAGCAATGTTTCGAGGAAGGCAGCGTTTTCGGCCTTCGATGTAGTCAATCAGCGGGCTTAGCTCCATGTCGTCGCGTTGTTGTTGAGCCAAGTCGGTTTCTGATACAGAGCAAAGAAATGTATCATCCTCTTAAACGTCCACGTTCATACTTCCACACCAGTGTGGTTGAGTCCGGACTTGTGAATGACTGTAACGTCAAAATCTCGAAGGCTCCACCGCGCTAGACTAGCGGAAGAAACTTTGAGGTTGGCGAGCCAGCATAAAGAATGGTGGTCGCTAACTACCCTGAATGGTCGATTGTAAAAATAAGAGTGAAACTTTGCTATAGCCCAAACAACGGCTAAGCATTCTTTCTCTGTTGCAGAGTAGTTTTTTTCTGCGGATGATAGTGCTCGACTTGCATAGGCAATCACGCGCTCTACGCCATTTTGCCATTTGTACAGCTCCAAGTCCGACGTTGGTGGCATCCGTGTGTAGCTCTGTGGCAGCGTTGTCGTCAAAGTGACCGAGTGCAGGTGGTGCTTGAAGATGGTTTCGTAGCGTGTCAAAGGCGTGATGCTTATTATGACCCCAGACAAATGGTACGCCTCTTTTGTAAGTGAATTTAGCGGTTCAGCGATTTTAGAAAAGTCTTTTACGAAGCGTCTGTAATATTCGCACAGTCCCAGAAATCGGCGGAGATCGCGCTTGTTCGTTGGGACAGGAAATACGGCAACAGCTTTCGTTTTCTCAGGGTCTGGGTGTATACCGGCGTGACCAAGAAACTTCAGTTCCTCAAAACCAAAGTGGCTTTTCTCAGGTTTGGAAGAAAGTCCAGCTGTTCGAATCGCCTGAATAACTGCCTGTAAGCGCTGGACGTGCTGCTCAAACGTGTCCAACAAAACGACCACATCGTCAAGGTACACAAGACACGATTGCCATTTTAGCCCAGAAAGAACCGTGCCCATCATTCTTTGAAAAGCAGCTGGCACCGAGCATAATCCGAAAGGAAGGACTTTAAACTCGTAGAGTCCGTCAGGAGTAATGAAAGAAGGAAGGAAAATAGAGGGAAAAGAAAGGCAAGGAGGTTAACCAGCCTCTATGCAGCCGGTTTGCTACCCTGCGCATGGGAGAGGGATGGGGGAGATGAAAGAGAGCAGAGAGGGAAGATAGAAACAGCACAATCTGCCGCACATGCGCGCACACTCAATCATAGTCCAGTCTTGTCTTTCGCGGTGTGTGACATTGCTGTTACAGTCGCTTGTTCAAGTCGGTGTCGCGTAGGAATTTCAACAGAGCTTTCGTCGCCTTCTGTTTCAGTGTCTTCTCCCGGGCACTTGACAGAATAGTGTCCACAGACATTTGGCTGTTGTCGATGCGCGCAAAAGCAGGAGTAATGAAGGCGGTCGTTTCGCGGTCGCACTCATCAACAGAAATTCTCCCATAGCCACTGCGTAGATCCATGGAAGAAAAGTAAGGAGCGTTGCGAATGTGGCCCAGCGAGTCATCTATTCGTGGTAAAAGATACACGTCTTTCTTCGTGATCTCTTTCGGTAGTCAACGAAAAATCGCGGGGTACCATCTTTTTTCTTTACTAACACAACAAGGGACGGCCAGGGACTGGTCGATGGCTGGATGATATCGTCCTTGAGCATCTGCTGAACCTGTTAGTGTATAACGTCTTGTTCTTTTTGCGAGGCTCTGTAAGCGTGCTGTTGAATGGGTCTCTCGGTAGGCTCGGTGATGATACGATGCTTGGCAAGCGGTGTTTGGTTCACTTTCGAAGTCGTAGCGAAGCAGTCCCGAAATGAGTCGAGTAGCTTCAAAAGACTTTCCCGTTGTGCGGATGGTAGACCCTGGTTTACGTCGAGAGTGCTTGCGAATGTCATTGCGGAATCATCGCACGTCGAAAGAGCAGATAATATTGAGGAACCAGGGACGTCGGCAATATCCTCAAGGTATGCGATCACAGTGTGTTTGTTAAGATGGCGATACTCCTCGCTGAAATTCGTGACTAATAGGCAAGCCTGCTTCCTCCTGGGCTGAACAATACCTCGGGCAACACAGATTTGTTGTGCAAAAAGTAGAGACAGATTTCCTTCTGCAATTACTAGCATCGGGGACGTCTTGGTCACATTCAACGTTGATGAAGAGGCTGCTGCAGGGCGGCATAGTAACAGATTCGGAGGATACACGTAGGGCAGCCTTCGATAAGAAAGTGTTTTTAGGTTCAGGATGAATGGGTCCTCGAACGACACCTGCAAGTCTCGTAGGTCAATAATTTGCGTCAGTGTTCGCGAAGAAAGTCCAGTCCCAGAATGAGTGGACTGGGAGCACACAGGTAATACGAGAAAGACCCTGTGAACGCGAAGTACAGGACTCGAACACGGGCTGTGCCCATTCCAGTCGGCGTGACGAGGTGGCCCCCTGCCGTGCGCAACGGGGGTCCTTGCCAAGGGGTAGTTACCTTCCTCAGTTGGGATGCCAGGGCGCTGTTCATACCAAATAATCGGCGACCGACGGTGATTACGACAGTGTACTGTGATGTCGGCGAAACAGTCTTATGACTTTCGGAAATGACTGGAAAGTCAGAACGATCTTCGCGTCGGGTCTTTGCGTCAAGGGAGGCTCTTTACAGTTTGTTGGGACGCGGCTTCACCCCCCAAGAGCCGCCGTTTTCTAGTTTTCCTTCTGTGGGGACTCGATGACTAGACTCTGAAGAAGCAGAAGATGACGAGGGAACGCTAGGTGACGTGGGCGGCGAGGTGATGGGGATTGTGATTGGGGGCGTTGACCAAGGCGAGGAGCTTGCTGGCCCGTAAGTTACACTTCAAGGTCACGGGGACGCTCCCCGTAACGCGGGCACCGAGCTTCAGGGTGAAAGCCACGGAGACCAAGTTGGCGGTACTGGCAATGGCGGTAGACGTGACCCACTTCGCCACAGTGGTAGCAGAATGGACGGTTATCTGACGTACGCCACACGCTGGCCTTTGCGGCGTTCTGTCGTGATCCAGATGGATGATAAGTTGGTGTACTCGGAAACGTTGAGGCGGGAGGTGGAGTGCCCTGGAATTGATGGCTAGCCTGATCCATTGTCCGCATGGTGGGATCAAGAGCATGTGGTGCAGGAGATCGCAGAGCCGCCGCATAAGTCAGCACAGGGGCCTCAGGCCTTGTTGGCGCGAGTGGGGTGATCTCATTTCAGATTAAGTCTGCGAGAGCACTTACGGGTGGTTGGGGTCCCGCTGCTTGGAGTTGGCGCAGCTCGTCCCACACGACGCTTCTTATGATCTCTGCGAGGGCATGCCTCTCGCTGTCAGCCCCGATAGAGCATGCAGCAGGGGTCACGTCGTGGCGTTTATACTGTGACGACCGATGCTGGAGACTACACTCTATTGTGGTTGCCTCATTTATGAACTCAGCCACAGTCATTGGTGGATTGCGCAGGATCCCAGCGAAGAGCTGCTCTTTTACCCCGTGCTATAAATGCCGCACCTTTTTTTCCTCGGACATTGCACAGTCGGCACGCTTGAAAAGTCGAAGCATGTCCTCGACAAACATCGAAACACTCTCGTTAGGTCGTTGGTTCCGAGACGAGATGGCCTGCTCCGTTCTTTCTTTCCTTTCAGTGCTGCGGTACACATCATGAAATTGTCGGCTGAACTCTTGCCACGTCGCAAAGGAACCCTCGTGATTGTCATACCATGTTTTGGCAGAGTCTTCTAACGCAAAGTAAACTCTCCGCAGCTTGCGAGCTTCATCCCATTCGCTGATGTTGGCAACTTGATCGAAGTGGTCAAGCCAGTCATCAACATCATCATGAATTTTTCGATGAAATGAGCGTGGTGTTTGCGGCGCATAAAAAACACGCGGGAGAAAAGAATAGACGTCATTGGTTTGACTCGCCTAGCTGGTAGTGGAAGTTGCCATCTCGTCCTAAGAGATTCGGGAGATAGTCCTCGCAGTCGGTGACTGCTTCTTGCCGCGGGCGCTGTAGCTGTCTCCAAGTAGCTCGGTGTGTCGGCTGAAGAGCTGCAGCCGAGGCGCATTTACCCCGCACCTCCGCCAGTGCCACGAACGAAATAACAGACAGCGACGAATCGACGTCTTGCTCGCGCCCAGACCAGGAAGCAAAAGTCCTCTTCTTACTCTATTTCCAAGCGATTTCATGCTACAGGTATGGCTCATATCCATTATCTGTGACAATATAATATATATACATATATATATATATATATATTATATGATTGCGAAATGTTCCTGACGTTGTTTTTTTTCGTTCTAGAACGCTGTTTCATTTGCTCCGTTTTGAGCGTCAGTGTCTTGGTGCTTATTTCTAGTCAGTTCTAAAGGTCGCCTTTCTTACCCGGCACGAAGTACACCAGAACGCCGAGGACAAAGTTGACGACAATCAGGATGGTAAGTGCAAAGGAGTACACTCTGAGCGGGAAGGTGTTCTCCCGCAGTGCCTCGACGCAGCCGCACGAGCTGATGGTGAACAGCGCAAGCCCGAATAGAAAAAGCAGCACTGCCATATGTGTTAGCAGCAATCCCGAGATATTCAGGCGTTCCAGTACATGCTCCTCTTCCCTGTCCCACGAATCCATGAACATCCTCAATGCAGGCCAGATGAGGGATATGCCCACAAACCACCGGAGAAGGCTGAGAAACAGCAGCGGGCATCGCACCTGTAAGTGCGACAGCGAGAACAACTTTGCACTGACTAGCGTGTTCCCTCTTACAAGTTGGTTCTTTAAATGCCTCCAAAATTATCTGAAATTGCAGGAGGCAACTGGTGGCTTCATTTCTTCAAAACGATCTCTCGAGGTGGCACTGGCAGGCATGTGAAGTTAAGCGATGTTGCAAGCCATCCTGCCACTGCCACTATAGTCTACAGCAGTAGACTTGAGGCAATGGAAAGATGCAGCAGCCACTGCGAACAGTTTGCCGCAGTAATTTAAACTGAACTGATCGTTTTTTTTTAGATTACAGAGCAAGTGTACGCTAGCAATTTAAACCGACCAACAAAATTTAACCATTTTTAGAATACAGAGCAAGTGTCCGCTAGCAATTTAAACCGACCAACGAAATCTAACCTATTTCAGCGGTTCTTACAAGATACGCGTATCAGGATTATCAAGTTTGCACCAGTCGTCTATTTCGTTATTCACTGACGTCACATAACACTCAATTTGGTATGTGTGGAGCTATCAAAACGACTGCGAGCACGTCATGAAGGGCTCAATATACTCCAATGTACCGTTGAAGCGCGCGCACGTTGGGAACAGCAGCGCTACCTTAGCAAAATGCGAGCACTCTATAGTCTGACGCCAGGCACTGACCAGCGTCCGTCGGCGCGGCCCGACGGCAACTGGCGCGAAATGCGACATGCTGCATTTCGCGCCAATGCGTCAGCCAGACAAGACTGCGTCTTCCTATTCTTGTTACCGAGGGACGCCGGATGCACTGAAATGCGCATGCGTCAAAGAAACGAACGCGGCGCAGCGCCTGTGAGATATTGGCAGGACCGGCGGCATGCGTGCACCAACTCCGGCTTGACGCGACGAAATGAACACCATGCGAGCACGCGCACCTGCGTCACGTCGAAATGTATTGGCGCCTTGACTGTAGCATGCCAGTCATGTTCTCACATGACACGCATCTCATGACTATCATGTTTGCACCAGTCGCATACCTTCGTCATCAATTTGGTCACATAATACCAAATTTGGCATACGTTAAGCTAGCGAAACAGCCGCGAGCGCATCATCAGTGTGGCAAGTAGTTATGTCCCTCCATGACACGCATCTCGTGATTATCATGCTTGGATGTGTCATTTACCAATGTCGTCCGTTCGCGCCGCGTAATACCACAATTGGTACATGTGAAGCTAACTTAATGGCCGTGAGCACATCATGAGCGTAGAATGTAGCCATGTTCTTACATGACACGCATTTCATGTTTATCATGTTTGCACCATTATCATACCTTCGTCATTCATTCACAAGCCGTAATACCAGATTTGGTATAACTGAAGCTGGCGAAATGGCCGCCAGCGCGTCATGAGCGTGGCAAGTAGTCATGTGGTTACATGACACGCGTCTCATTATTATCAAGTTCGCACCAGTCACCTACCTTCTTCATCCATTCGCGTACTGTATTACCAAATTTGGTATATTTGACGCTAGCGAAACGGCCGCGAGCGCATCATGAGTGTGGAATGTAGTCATGTTGTTACATGACACGCATTTCATGATTTTCATGTTAGGATCTGTTGCTTGTTTTCGCCATGTAATCATCCTTTACCATACTAGTTTTCCAGCATTCCATGTGAATGAAACCACCGCAAGAGCAGCAGGACCTTGAAACGTTGATCATGACATCCATGACATACATATCATGATTTTCTTGTTGAAACTAGTCAACTATGTTCTTCATACAGTCATGGCATGTCATACCAAGTTTGCTATCGATCCCATTATCGAAACGGCCCGGAGAGCTAAAAGTCGTAGGCGGCCAGATAGATAGATAGATAAATAGATAGATAGATAGATAGATAGAAAAATAAATAAATAGATAGACAGATAGATAGATGGACAGACAGACGGACAGACAGATAGATAGATAGATAGATAGAAGGATAGATAGATAGACTGAAAGTGCCCACAGTTCACTAAAAGCACTGTGTTTAAAACGATTTTTTGTAATCATTTTCAAAAAAACTTTGGGCGTCTGTCATAAAGATCTTAAAATTCATATTACTATTGAAATATTTAGTTTTACTTTTGAAAGGCACGCTATATTGCACGTCATTTGGCGCATTTCAAAATGATTAGAGCCGCTGTAAGTTTGTCTCTTCCTGAAATATTAAGCTAAAACACCAGCGCAGGCTTCATAATCTCTGCGTCATAATCCCATCCATGTGCTCATACCCCAGCTGGTCAAGAAACCCATGCTCCCGTGCTTACAAAAACTATGCCTTTCCTGCTTATTCATCATTCTGGTACTCACTTACGACTCATTCCGAATTGGAGGGTGGGAAAACACGGACACCAGCAATAAATCATGAAACCTACAAACTCTGACTGTTCCGTGCCTTATATTCTTCGTAATTCTCAAACGAAATATTTTACGGGCGTTATTGTAGAAGGTACCCAATATGAATGCGGAATGTATGTGAAAATATTTGTAAGGAATTCTCTGAATTTCTATGCTATTGATTCCGTCACTGCCAATAAAGCAGACGTTCTGTTGCTTCCCAATACGCACACACTGCTTTGCAAAAAGGTGCACTGCTGAATAAGCAGCATGATGGGTCGCTCATTAACCAATGTTAATATTTTAACGTCTGCAACTTCTTGTACGTAAGCTTGCAATATGAGCAGGTTGTGTACATCACATGAACTCACCGCTGGATTGACGTCAAGCAGGACCGTCTCCTCCTTTTCTAGGCTCCACACCGACACTGGCTGTCTCAGCGAGCTGGTGCATTCACTTGATCGACCTCTGGATTGGTCAGACATCAGGCTGAGAACGTTGGTGAATGTCCGCATTGCAGCTCAAAAAGCGCTTGCACGTAACAAGAGCTTTCATTTTCACCAACCATTGATCGCCTTCTTCTGCATGTTCACGTTATTTTGTGGCTAATACCCACTGTGAGAGATGGGCAAAGAATTAGGGGTCTTAATAAATCTTACGGAGTTGTTGTTATTCTTGTCTTGTCTTGTCTCCTCGGAGATCTTGGCTCGTACCAGTGATCGCCTTCTTCTGCATGTTCACGTTCTTTTGTGGCTAATACCCAATGTGGGAGATGGGCGAAGAATTGGGGGGGTCTTATTAAATCTTATGGAGTTGTTGTTACTCTTGTTGTTGTTTTTGTCCCAACACATGGTTTGTACCCAATGGAGGGGATTGGCCAATTAAAGAGGAATTCTCCAAATATTCCCTGGATTGTTTAACTCAGAGGAACGATTGTGTAGAGGCCTTCCCAAATTAAAGACCTTGTATTTTTCTATAATGCACAAAACTTCATGGAGACAAGGGCCCATTACCAATACTTGTTTCTTTCCACTATTCACTTTACGGATGTTTTAGCTTCGCAAGAAGAACATCGAACAATGTAATATATTTTAATCAAATCTTTCCTTCATTCGTAAGGAATTAGAAATTGATGTTTTTTATGCGGTCATTTGCGCAATTACTTCACTTTGATATTTTTTATTTAGGAATACTTACAATCTCGTCAGTGATGCTTACAGCAGTTGGTTCAAATGGCATGAAAACATTAGAGCACTCAGTCGCACTATTTCACCTTCTGGCTAAATGTTCTTGAAAAAAGGAAGAAACTTAACGACAAATCGCTTTTGTAAATCTAAAATTATGAAAGTAAAATAAGTATGATAAACTCACGAAATGAAAAATTCATGACAAGTTTACACCAGCCTCCCCCAAAATTTTGAATTACAGGTGAGAAAGAAAGAGTTAAACACATATACGTGACTAAGTTTCCTCATACATCCACTGCCAAAATGATTCGTAATGCAATGCAATTATCAGTGCTTTGATTGTAAGCGAAACCTAGATTTCCTAATTATTTCTATTAGTGTGAACTCTGTGGCAGTCGTTGCTGAGCCATATTGAGAATAATTGCTTTCTGAATAAAGAATAAAGGACAGCGCGTGGGTTTCCGTGGGATTCATACTTGAATATTAGAACATTAGGTATTTTTCAATACTTGCCATAGATCGTTAAATAGACAGCTGAATGAACAGCAGCCATCTTAAGTCCCATTCCAATTTTCTCGTAGAAGGCAAATAGGCAGCTCCGAAAAGACCGCATCGTAGACAAATACGATGCAGGCTACTTTGCTGTCTGAACAAAATGGCGACTCAACGATTCGCTCAGGCATGTCGGATCTCGCCGGAATAGTCATCTGCACACAAGTAGACACTTTGCCACATACTCAATGTGAGTAACGTTTATTTTTTTAAATTTGAACACGAAATAAGCCACAAAATACAATCTTTACATTTGCTTATTTTAGCCTTCTTTTCACGACGTGAGGTGGCGCCTCGTAGCGTAAAAGCCGGCTTTCCTCAGAGAGAAAAACCAGGCAATGGTAGAGCGTATATCAAATGACATTCAGGAGTTAGCAGGAGAGTGCGAGATAATTATACTAGGTGATATGAATGCGCACATAGAAGATATAGATGGGTATACTAACCCAACAGGCAAAGTGATCATGGCTATGTGTGAAAGGCATGATTTGTTCATTTTGAACAGTACCGGGAAGTGTGAAGGGCAAATAACGCGGGAAGTAGGAAGGCTGCAGTCGACAATAGATTACGTACTGATGTCACATAGGATGTATGATATGCTCAAGGAATGTACATAGGTGAAGGTCTTCCAGAAGTCTGGGTAGCAATCTCAAACGTATCAAACTAAGTTTTAGAAGAGCAGTGAAAGTGGAAAGGAGAGAAGATGAGCAACTATGAAAAAATTGTTATTCAGAAAGGTGAACAGATATAGCAACTAAACAAATTAAGAAAGTAGTCACTGACGATAATAAATCAATGTGGACATACACAAATCTAATTAGACTGTTTGAGCTAGAGCTTGCAAAGATACGTGACAAGTCACCCCGGTAAAAAAGACACAAACCGAAAAGTTGGTGGGATGAGGAAGTTAAGGGAGCCATAGCGAAACGTCAGGAGGCCTCTAGGGAACACAGACATGCTAAGCAGTGGGGTGAACCAATATATGATCTTCAAAGAAAATGGTAAATCTTTCGAAGCTTTAGAATGAATGCATCCCTTAGGATCACTGAAAAGATTAGAAGAAAGGGAGCTCAGTGGCTCGCAGAAGTACATAAAGAAGATAGAAAGACAGCTGCGAAGTTTTGGAACCATCTAAACTTCCTAAGAAATGAGACGAGCCTAGAGCAGAGGTTTATAAATACAGCTCGAGATGCTAGGCTAGAAGGGGACGAAGCTTTTGAATATATTAGAACGAGAGTGACAGAAAAATTTCAAACAAAGAAGTGCTTTAGGCACCACAATAGACAAGGATAAATCTAGTGGCGCAATGGCTCCATTTTCACAATGAGAGTGGGAAAGGACTGAGAAGAGGGTTTCTAGTAGTACATCAACAGGCCCGGATGGCATTCCAATTATGCTGATAAAGACATTAGGTCCGAAAACTAAGCAGGCTTTGAGAGAGTCAGTGAGCAAAAAATGGTGAAGTGGTGAAGTCCCCTGATGCATGGAAACTTAGCAGGATGAGCATGATCTATAAAGAAAAGGGGGACAAAGCTGACATAAACAACTACCGTTTATAACAGTGACATCATTGGTCTAAAAGCTGGCAATGCAGGCATGGATAGAGGATGAGGGGTGCTGGGGGAACTGCAGATCGGGTTTCGGAAACACAGGAGGTTGGAAGACAATCTGTCCTCACTGACGCAGTGCATCGAAATAGCAGAAAAGGAACACTGGCTCCTGTGGCTAGCATTTTTGGATAACAAGGAAGCGTACTATAGTGTCCTTCAAGAGGAACTGTGGGGAATACTGGACACACTAGGGGTGGAAGATGTAGCCACTAATCTTATAAAGAATATCTATAAAGGTAACAAGGTAATTATAAAGTGAGAAAAAAAGGTATTCAAGCCTGCAGAGGTAAAACGGAAGCTTAGGCAGGGGTGTCCCTTGTCGCCCTTGTTATTCATGATGTACCTACAAGGATTAGAGGCCAAATTAGAGAGAAGTGGACTGGGCTTTAACCTCCCTTTCGTCAAACAAGGAAAACTCATTGGACAGGCACTACTAGCATTGATGTACGAAGATGATATAGTGCTAATGGCCGACAACAAGAAAGATTTGCAGAGATTGGTAGACATCTGCGGTAATGAGAGAGGTAGGTTAGATTTCAGATTCAGTAAGGAAAAATCAGCTGTCATGATATTTAGTTACAATGAAGGTAGTGAGCTTAAAATACTGGAGGTCACGCTAGGAATTTAGGTAAATACAAATATCTGTGTGTATGGATAAGCAATGAGGTCGAGTACCTAAGGGAACACGAAATATACGTGACGACTAAGGGTAAGAGAAATGCAGCGGTAATGAAAAACAGGGCACTGTGGAATTACAATTGGTATGATGTTGTGAGAGGAATATGGAAAGGGGTCACGGTTCCTTCTCGGACGTTCGGCAATGTGGTCTTGCGCATGACATCAGAAGTTCAAGCAAGATTAGAAATTAAACAACGTGGAATAGGTAGGCTTGCCTTAGGAGCTCACGAGAATACACCAAATCAGGAAGTACAAGGTTATATGGGATGGACATCATTTGAGGGCATGGAAGCTAACAACAAGATAAAATTTGAGAAGCGATTGAGAGAAATGGGGGAGGAGTGTTGGGCTATGAGGGTATTCAGCTACTTGTACATGAAGAAGGTAGATAAAAATTGGAGAAAGCGAACCAGAAAATTGACTGATAAATACTTAGAAAACAGCAGGAGGCCAAACCATGAAGAATTATTGGTAAAAAAGAAGGTGAAGGAATTTGAGACCATTATGTGGAGAATTGGCGTGATTAAGAAGTTAGCAGTAGAGATCTATGGAACATTTAGGCAAGAAATGGCCAAGGCAAGGATCTATGATAATACTCGGGGTAGTTATCTATTGTTTGAGGCCAAGACGGGAGTATTGCGAACCAAGAAATATCGGACCAAATACGAAGGGGTAGACTCGGTATGCAGTGCGTGTGGAGAGAAAGAGGAAAGGGCCGAACACTTGACAATGTTTTGTGAAGGGCTTCATCCTTCAGTTCAGGATGATGGCGCCGAGTTTTTCAAAGCACTGGTGTTTAGGGACAGGGAGGGCAAGATACTTCTTAAGCGGGTAGAAATAACTAGAAGGAGGATATCTGATTGGTGGCCAAAGTCAAGGCACGAGTGAAAATTAAACACTTCACTGCAAAGTACGAATCCTCAACCTCACTATGTAAAGAAAAAAAGATAAATCTAGTTTTTCGTTCATTAAGTATTACGGCTTGGTGGTGCTTGCCACCGCCCGACCTAAAGGGTACAGCCATATCCATCCGTCCGTCCATCCGTCCGTCCGTCCTTCCGTCCGCGTGTCCGTCCGTACGTCCGTCCGTCCGTCCATCCATTCATCTATCCATCCATCTATCCATCCATCCATCCATCCATCCATCCATCCATCCATCCATCCATCCATCCATCCATCCATCCATCCATCCATCCATCCATCCATCCATCCATCCATCCATCCATCCAAACGTGTTGCATTTCTCGGACAGCATGGGCTCGATACCGTCTTCTAAGCTGTCTGCGCAGACGGTTTAAGTGCTCTCTAAGAATTCGAACACAGCCATTATTCTGGATTTTTCGTTTTAGTTCTCCTGTTCTGGATGAGCGCTTGGCCCGGGGTGGACGGCTTTACATGTGTGAGTTCAAAAGCAGCAGCACTCAAACTTTTTGGTTTCGTCGTTGAGACAGCTGTTCAAACATATAATATTTCATTTCCTTTCATGAT